TCTCTCTCTCTGTGTGGCCCCCTCTGGTGAGCATGCATACCCTCTGGCAAATTTAAACTAAAAAACAAATGTTATTATAACTTCTCAATTATTTTTTCCTTAGATACTTTGCTAGAAACTTCAACCAAAGATGTACTTACACAGATAACCTAAAACATCGTGATGTTTACAAAAGTATTTTAAAACTAGAAACAATCTAAAGTTTAATTAATGGAGCTTAGGTTAAAGTCACAAAATGAATTATTAAATTAAATTTGATAATATTCTTATTGAAAAATAAAATAGGAGGTTAATACATAAAGGCTACTAAAATAACTGGGTTGTCAGATGCTAATTTTTTTTTTTTTGAGAGGTTTTTGCTATAGGGCTTGTGCGTTCGCCAGAAAGAGAGATAGAAAGTGAGAAATTACCCCCTGGGGGGATGGCAACGCCGTAATCTCTTCTCCTCCATTCTCCTCTAGGGATCTTGGGCATGCGTGCACATGTGCCCAGCATGAGTTTAAGCCAGCATGAGTTTAAGCCACCATGTCCAGGACTCGAACTGCGGTCTACTACATGGGAGTTCAGCGACAGCCATTACACTAACTGTTGGTCCCAAGAGGTGCTAAATTTTAAATGTAGTTAATCTCAGAGCAATATGATTTTTAGTGCTTTTTAACTTTCTCTGTATATTCCTATATACTTCTTAAATTGCGAAAATAATAAGTATGTGTAATTTTTATGATTATATAAACAAAGCTAGCTTTTGAAAAATATAGAATCAAAATTACGGAGAAATAGATACACACATCTAGATAATATGATATTATTGAGACATGAGAACTAAAAGTTATGGCTCCAGGATTCTCAGATTCTGATTCAATCATACCAGTTCTCTTTCACTCATTTTGTATTCTGGGTTCTCCAATATTATTTGTCAATAGGGTAGCTTAGTTTAAAAAAAGAAAATGAAGGGCCAGTTGGTAGCATGATGGATGAGGTGCTAGACTCCACACGGCCAACTGTGGTTCCATCTTGGACCTGGCAGCTTGCTTTCTTTCTCTTTCTGGTGAGCACACGTACCCTATAGCAAATTAAAAAATAATAATAATAGGGACCAGCAGATGAAGTAATGGTTGCATCACTGGACTCCCACATAGTTGACTGCAGTTCGAGTCCTAGGCTCCGCAGAAAATCTAATGCGGAGGGGTGGGGAGGGTGGTGGCAGATGGTATGGTGGTTAAAAGCGTTGGACTCACACATGGCTGAATGAGGTTCAAGTTCTGGACTTGGTGGCTTGCTTTCTCATTTTCTTTCTCCTCGCTCCCTCTCTCTTTTAATCAAACTAGAAAATAACAATACCTAAACTTAAATAATTCTTAAAAGAAAAAAAAAAATCTCATGCTGGGCACATGTGCGTGCGAGCCCTAAATACCAAGAGGAGAATGGAGGAGAAAGGACTGCCCGGCCATCCTCTCCTGGTGAGTATTTCTCATTTTCTGTCTCTCTGGCAAATGCACCCATCCTAAAGAAAAATCTCTCTTAAAAAAAAAAAAAACACAAAAACAAACAAACCAAAAAAACAATCTCAAGCTGGGGTCATGTGCGTACATGCCTAAAATCCCAAAAGAAAAATGAAGAAGAAAGGAATGTGATATCGCCATCCCCCCAGGGGTTGATCTCTCACTTTCTGTCTCTCTCTCTCTCTTTCTCTGGTAAGCACACACACCCTATAGCACGCTCTCTCATAAAAATAATAATAATAAAGTAATAATAAATAAAATTTTAAAAATGAAAACATATCTGAAGGAGTATATGTTGATGGAGTAATGTTTTCTTTATAAACTGTTAGGTAAGTAGGCTAATTTTAAAACTGTGTGTACTATGGCCCTATCAAAGATAATTAACAAAAGGACCAGCAGATGGCATAATGGTTACATTGCTGGACTCCCACATAGTTGACTGTGGTTCAATTCCCGGATCTAGTGGCTTAAAATGCATACCAGGTATGTGTCCAAAGTTCTTAGAGGAGAATGGAGGAGAAGGGATTGCAGCGTGGCCGCCCCCTGGGGATGATCTCGCTTTCTGTCTCTGTCTCTCCGGTGAGTACACAGGCCTTACAGCAAAAATCCCACAAAAATAAATAAATAAAATTAAAAACCAAAGTAACTAAAATTAATATTTTCACAAAAATTAATAAATTTTCATTTGGTTAATTTGTTTATAGTTTTTTTTTTTTTGAGAGGTTTTTGCTATAGAGCACATGTGCTCACCAGAAAGACAGAGACAGACAGAGAGATAGAAAGTAAGAAATGCCCCCCCAGGAGGAATGGCCACACTGCCATCCCTTCTCCATTCTCTTCTCGGGATCTTGGGCATGCACACACACACGCGCCCGGTGTGAGTTTAAGCCACTGGGTCCGGGACTCGAACCGTGGTCAACTACATGTGAGTCCAGCGACATAGCCATTACGCCCACTGCTGGTCCCTGTTTATAGTATTTTTTTTTTTAAAGATTTATTTCACCTTACATATTTCTTTATTATTTATTTATTTTAATTTGACCACAGAGGGACAGAAAGTGAGAGTGAGAGAGAGAAAAAATGAAAAAGCAAGCTGCCAAGTCCAGGACTCGAACCACGGTCAGCCATGAGGGAGTCCAGCACCCTTAACAACCATGCCACCTGCCAGCCCCTATAGTATTTCTTAATCAAAAGGATTCTTATTGAAATAAAAAATGTTTTTAGGAAAATTTAAAAGTTACAAGTACAAAAAGACCTTGAGTTGATTTATATCTTATTTCTAAACCTCAAAAAGATAGAGGTCTAGTCAGTTTATCAGGAACAAAAATGAGATACTTCGGGACCAGCAGTTGGCGTAATGGCTACGTCGCTGGACTCCCATGTAGTTGACCACGGTTCGAGTCCCGGACCCAGTGGCTTAAACTCACACCGGGCGCGTGTGTGTGTGCATGCCCAAGATCCCAAGAGGAGAAGGGATTGCAGAGGGCCATGCCCCCTCCGGGGGGGGGGGGACTTCTCACTTTCTGCCTCTCTGTTTCTCTCTGTCTTTCTGGTGAGTGCACGTGCCCTATAGCAAAAAAAAAAGTCTCCTGCCCCCCAAAAATAGATGTTTCTGTTTTAAACAAGAAGAAACAAGATTAACATTTTCTAAATATTAACATTTTCTAGGAAAAAAAGCCTTCATTAGATTAAATCAATTTATGAAAATATACATAAAATCTAATATTAAACTACTTTATTTCTTAAAAAAAAAAAAAAACCCTACAATTCTAATGTCATTTTGTACTAAAATAGTCATGTGAAAGTACTTTCACACTCAACATGCATGCATTATAGGTAGTCATTCCCCTGGGGGGCGGGGGGAAGGTTTCTCACTTTCCTGCTCTCTGTTCCTTCCTGGTGAGGCTGGGGCCCTATGGCAAAAACCTAAAAACATTTTTAAAATAAAAAGAATAGCTTGTTTTTATATCCACACATGATAAAAACATAAGCTAGAATAAAATTATAAAAGAAAATTGTGAGAAAGGAAAAACTTCCAAAATCCCACTTATTAGCCTTTACTACAGTGGTTCCCAATCTTTCTGGCACCAGACTGGTCATGGAGGGTGGGGTATACTTTTGGGATGATTCAAGCACATTACCTGTATTACTTCTATTCTTACAAGGTTGTACATGTAATAAAATAAGTATACAACTTACCCTAATGCAGAACCAGCAGGAGCCCTGAGTTTGTTTTCCTGCAACTACATACCTGGGGGCTCCTATGAGATCTAATGCCAGTAGCATTAGATTTATGATGGTAGCATTAGGTTCTCATAGAAGGCTGATCTGATAGGTGATGACCAGGCGGTAATGCAAGCAACGAAGAGTGGCTCTTAACACAGATGAAGCTTTGCTTGCTTCTCATCGCTCACCTCCTGCTATGTGGCCTGGTTCCTAACAGGCCATGGACTGGTACCAACCAATCTGTGGCCCAGGGGTTGGAGACTCCTATTCCTGTTTAATAAATTAAGCCAAGAATAGCGAACTCTGCCCCCTTTCCACTGCTCCTTTCAATTTATACACTAACCTATTTGTCACTAAGGAAAGGAATAGGAAAGAAAATCGACTTTGTCTTTGTCACATAGTATTGATATTTCTTCTTGATAAAGTAAAAAAAAAGTTAGACTAGCAGGAGCCAATGATTAGCACAAAATATAGAGTAAGACTCTCCATTATTACTCACAGGTCTTAGGATGTTTTTCATGTAGCTGTTTTTACACCTGGTTCACAAAATGAAAATAAACTGCTTCTTTGAGATAAGTACTATAATTACATTTACACTTTCATAGAACACTGGTTAAGATATACATGTGAGAAATACATCCAAGCACCACAAGACACCCAGCTATTGACCAAACAAGCCCTATTACCATGAGTATCTACCCCTTTACCATTCCCTCAGCAGAGTTGTCAGAAAATATTAACCAGGAGATTGTTTGTTTTTTATTTTATTTTTATTTATTTATTTTGCTACTGCTATTGTCCGTGGTTAGATTTAAGACTAGAAAGAAGCAGCTATGGAAAAGGCTGACCTACTGACTATACTGAGAAATGTAACCTGGATAGGGGCTGGTTATAGCTAAAATATCCTATACATCAAAAACAGAGAAATCTACATTTTACTCCCTTTAGGAAAAATTCTTGCTATTTTAAATCCCAAAGCAACATTCATTCCAATTTGGCAAGTTTTTAAAGCTTTAAGAGAAACCCAGAAAATAAAACCTTGCAATCTTTTCTTCACTGTGATCAGCAATTTAAAATAAGTATCTACTTGATCAGTAACATGTACTAAATTATATCCAAAGAAATTGGAATACACAACAGACAAAGTTTAAAGTTAGTTGCCCCTTTTATGAAACAAAAATAAAATCATATACACACAAAAAAAACAGAATTGAATAATCTTTTTCTCAATATTGGTATATAAAAATTATAATAGTCAGAATCTGCACTTACTCTTCACCCCTTTCTTCCCCTTTCGTTCCTTCTTGTACTGTTCCTTCAGTTTACTTATTAGTCCCTGGTCTACATCCCAAACCTCAGCAGTTGGGGAGAGGTCATCTTTATCTACATGCAGCATATTATTAAAAGAAAAAAAATCAGCAGTTGGCAATGCAAGCTGTTGGCAGTACACTATTAAAGCTTTATATAATCATAATAAAAACGTACTAGTGGCATGTACTCAAAATACTTTTAAAGGTGCAGTCTCAGTTTTGATATTCACAACTCAAACTCTTTATGTCCATGTTATAGGTTTCTAAGCATTTAATGCTAACAACAGTTTAATAATGCTTCATTTTTTTATGAATCACAAATTGTAAGGTTATTGATCTTTCAATGGACTGACATTAGATATCTAGTTATAAAAAATAGATCACTGCATCTTTATAAAAATGTTAATAAAAATTATTCAGCCAGCATCATAAAAGCAAATGAATGAATTACATGCAAACTACTCAGAAGTGCAAGCTGGAAAAGTCAGTGCCATTTCATCAATGAAAACATTCATGCACCTGTCACACTAATTCTGCATGCACAGGGTAATTGTACTGAAGGAGAGGAATTATAGTCTAATATAATAAATACATATAGTTCCAAAACACAATGTCTCAAATAATCCATAAAAGCATTCAAAGAAATCCACCTCTGCCCCAACCACTCCCAAATAGTTCAACATTTCATTACCTTCTTCTACTGGTCTACAACAAAGATGGGGGGGAGCAGGGGAAGCCCTCAAATTCTGAAGAAGTTTTCTAGAGTTTTTATTTTTCTTTTTAGGGTGAGAAAAAAGCAATGATAGGCTTGGAGAAGTGAAATTTATAAGCCTAAAGACTGAAATTTACCATGTATGTATATACAGTGCTGTATATCTGCTAAAGATGACATTTCAGCTATTTTAAGTAAATAATAAATCCATATTTAAGTAATTATATGTGCCTAGTAAAAAATTAATCATAAACTAAAGGAAAAATAGCATTAAAAAGAAACTATCTGAAAATAGCTAAGTCTTTTAAGTATGCAGATTTTTCTTTCCCTTGTTTAGTTTTAAAATAGCCATGTTATTAAGAAGTTTATCACTGTTACAGAGTAACAACCAGGAGTTTACATATCTATGCTATTAAATAGAAATTAAACCAAAATACATAAGCCAAGATAGTCAATAAGACTGAATAGTGAGATTTTTAGGGCAAACATATTTATTACACTTTTCATAACAGTATATTCTAGCTCACAAGTGTATTTCTCTAGGATTCACTGACTTAATCTAGAAAGTGGACATTCAAAAAAAAAAAAAGGCTTTTTTCCCCCTTTATAGACTGCTATATACAGTAAACATCAAAATCTTGTTTATGAATTGCACACAGAAATTCAAAGATTTACTGTGTCTTTATTTTTCCTACTACAATCATCATCACTTTTCCTCATAGGCGGTCAGAAGGTAAAAAGCAAAATCCAGAGGTAGTTTGCTAACTTGAATTACTTGAAACTAGGCTACCTGAGATATAAATTTACAAGCAAGATTATGTGTCAAAGCTGGAAACTGTAACACTGTAATATAGTTGTAACATTGACTAAAACAGAAAATTCACATCTTTTGTATTCTATTCAGGAAGTTTCCTGATAACTATGTTACAATCAAGAATCCTTCTGTCAACTTATTGAATGTGCTAGGAAAAAAATGTAATCTAAGGAATTAATCATTCACATTCATCTTAATGAAGCTAACAATTATTTATTTTCAACTCCCTGATGCAAGACAAATTGACATATTTTAAGGAAATGCTTTATAAGCTGCAGAGATTTAAAAAAAATTAAAAATCTTAATTGGTATAAACTTTACGCAGAAATTAGATAATACTGAAAAATTTTAAGATAGCCAGTTTTCAACAAAATCGTTGTAGAGAGAGTAAGTCTGTGAAAAGCTCCAAAGTAGCAAAAGAGAGTGGAGTGAGAAGGCGGAAAAAAAGAAAAAAGAATAAGCTTAAGAAAAAAACAAATATCACTTGCAAGATAACCTCAAATCTAGAAGATAAAGGTAAACTCAGGCAGTGCAAAGAACAGGTTGGTGAATACAGATGTGCACAAACATCCTAAAACTTGCCTGGTACAGCTGATTTGATATTGCTTATAAGAAATACTTAAGAGCAAAAAGGAAGAGGCAGCATAATCTTCTATATATTAATCCTGTTTATAAAAATTCTAGGGGGAAAAATACCAAGAAATGAGGTTGAATCAATTAAGGGAACGTTTTTGTCTAAAAGAAAACACAAATACACACAAAAAAGTTGATTCCTAACACTCAAAGCCATAGAACACAAAATTTTATTATGGTAATTTTGATTACCAAGATAAAGGAATTATATGGATCTACCAACAATAGCATGAATTTCGAATATTTTATGCAAATATTCAATAATGCATTCATCATATTTAAATACAAACATTGAAATACCAATTGTATTTTATAGTCCTATACATTTCCACAGATCACAGTTTCAAAGGGTAGGAAAAAATAAGTGAATTTTCTTAAAACACCTAGTCTCTATGAGAGAAAAAGCAAAATTAGAAATGCAAACCAATATTTTTGCTAAGGAGAACTAAAAATTACTAATATTAAACTCAAACTACCTCATGCAGATGGCAAGATTTTAAAAATTTTATAACTTCATAAAATGATTCAAAATCAAAGATAACAGAGCAGACTGCTAGTATATAAAATGTGTTTTGGGGCTAATTTAAAAATTAAAAAAGAATAACAGACTATTTAATGTAGGTAAGTATGGGACACATTTCATTATGACAAAATTTTTAAAAACTTATATTCTTTATCCAATAATTTAAATGTGAAAACTATAACCTTCCCATTTGTAGATATATTCAAGATTTTGATAAATAACTAACTATAGAAGAGGGTTTATATATCCATCCTCTTTGGTTAAGAAAAAATTAAGAAACCTTGTTAAATAGAAATGATGAATTTTAAGAATATTGCATAGACCCTCTGATAGTTTCCATTCCCTCAAAAACTACTTGAACCATTTTGTACCTGAAAAGTTCCTTCTGGGGGCCAGTAGGGGGTGTAGCATTTAAGGTGCTGGACTCCCACATGGTCTACCGTGGTTTGAGTCCTATACCTGACAGCTTGAAACTCATGTTGGACATGTATGTCTCCATGCCCAAAATCATGAGAGAAAAACAGAGGAGAAGGGACTGCGGTGTGGCCATCGTCTCTGGGTGGTGACCTCTCATTTTCTGTTTCTCTGTCTCTGTCTCTGTTTCTCCAGTAAACACATGTGCCCTATAGCAAAGTGGTTAAGCACTGTGCATAGAAAGCTGGATCCCACATAACTGGCCTGAGTTTAATTCTTGGCTCTTGGCTCTTAAAAAAAATGCAAGGTACACATATGTGCCTGCCCAAAATCCTGTTAGGAGAAATGAATTGCAACATGACCATGTCCCATTGGGGTGGGCTTGCTGGCTCTGTTTCTTTTTTTTCTTCCACTGTATCTCTTTTTCTGATGAACATATGTTCCCACAGAGAGTAAGAAAAAAATAAACATATTAAAAAGGTGATTGCAGAGGCAGGCAGGTGGCATAGACGTTGCACTGGACTGCCACATAGCCGACCACAGTTCAAGTCCTAAACCTGGCGGCTTGCTTTCTTACCCCACCCCCAACAGACACCTGTCTGTCTGATCAAACTGGATAATAATAATAATAATGATGATAAATTAAAAAAAGAAAGGGTGATTGTCAGGGCTGGCAAGTAGCATGGTGATTAAGGGTGATGGATTTCCCCATGGCCAACCACAGTTCAAGTCCCGGACCTGGTGGCTTGCTTTCTCACTTTCTCTCTGTCTCTCTGTCCTTTTCTGGTCAAATTAAAATAAATAAATATATAAATAAACAAAAAGTTAAATAAAAATTCTTTTTTTTTTTCTTTTTTTGGAGAGGTTTTTTTTTTTTTGAGTTTTTTTTTTTTTTTTTTACTATAGGGCGCATGTGCTCACCAGTCAGACAGAGAGAGACAGAGAGACAGAGGGCGAGAAATCACCCCCCAGGGGGGATGGTCACGCCGCAATCCCTTCTCCTCCATTCTCCTCTCGGGATCTTGGGCACGCAGGCACACGTGCCCGGCGTGAGTTTAAGCCACCGGGTCCAGGACTCGAACCGTGGTCGACTATGTGGGAGTCCAGCGACATAGCCACTATGCTAACTGCTGGTCCCTAAATAAAAATTCTTTAAAAAAAAAAAAGGGTGATTGTCATTTCCCCAAAAACTTCAAAATTCTTTAAAGACACTACTTTCATACTGTATGGAAATAAGACTTTGTTGGTTACTTTCAGTTTTACACAAGGACATACGGGTAACTCCCAAATATTGATAGTAGAAAATAAATAAAGTATTGGCAATCACCATTTAATAAGTAAATCTTCTCTTGAAATTTTGTTGTCCAGTCAAAAGTCTTAGGACAGAAGGCCCATGGTACTTTTAATAAAATATCATTTCATAAAAAGTTTCTGAAAATTTTGTTTATCCTTTTATGTAATATCTAAAGAAATGGATGTGTGCCAAGATTTAGCTAGACAGATCTTCCACAGGTTATTTTGTATCTTTTCGGGGGGAGAGATTTTTTGCAATAGGGCATGTGTGCTCACCAGAGAGACAGAGAGATCGAAGTGAGAAATCACCTTCCAGAGGGATGGCCATGCCACAATCCCTTCTCCATTCTCCTCTCGGGATCTTGGGCACACACGCACACGTGCCCGGCATGAGTTTTAAGCCACCAGGTCTGGGACTTGAACTGTGGTCAGTCACATGGGAGCCCAGCAATGTAACCATTATGCCATCCTGCAGGTCCCTATTTTTGGTCATTTTTAAAAATGTATTTTATTTATTTTTTTAAGGGTTTTGCCATAGGACATAGGTGCTTACCAGAAAGGAGAGAAACAGTGAGAGAGAAAGTTAGAAATCACTCCTCAGCATGGATGGCCATGATGAAATCCCTTATCCTCCAATCTTCCTCCTAGGATTTTAGGCATGCCTGCACATGTGCCCAGCTTGATTTTCAAGCCGCCGGGTCCAGGCTCGAACCATGGTCAGCCATATGGGAGTCCAATGCCTTAACCACCACGACACCTGTTGGCCCCTGATCATTTTTTTAAAATGAAAATAAGCTAAATGTATACAAGCGTAAGCCTTGGTTAAATAAATTCATGACACATACTGACAGAAATATAAGCAGCTATGAAAAATGATAGTGCAGAAGCACTACATAAAAGTGAAAAGTGTGGGTTACTGCTAGCATACAGCAAAATACTTTAGTAATTAAAAGGTTAAAAAAGGCACTTATGTGTGTGTATATACATATATATACACATACTATGGTCCTCTCTTTATAATAGATGACTTTTTTGTTTTCCTTCACTTGTATTTGTGGGTTCTAAATCTTCTAAACCATGCTTGTGTTATATATTTATTTGATTTATATATATTTATATAATTTACAAAACACCGGGTTGTCGGAAAAGTAATGACGTATTTTTCTGTTTGTCTATGCAAAATGCAGTAAGACTTTTCTGACGACCCAATAATCAGGAAAAAAATGAAAAGTACTTTAGAAGTACTGGGAAAAGATAAAGTAATTTCAACACTGATTGGACTGCAAAGAGAAGCTAAAAGAAAACTTAGATACTTACACAAAAATGTAAAGTCTAGAAAATAATTGCGCAGTTTCATCATGTTCTGAATTACTGTTCCTTCTGTTTTTGTTTAGGATAGAGAGAAGTGAAAACCTGAAAACAACCCTTGATAATTGTCAACAATGAAAACACTAGTAAAAGAAATTCAGAGGAAGGCAGGTAGTGTGGTGGCTGGGCTCCCACATGGCTAACTGTGGTTGGTGTTCCAAACCTGGCAGCTTCCTTTCTTGCTTTCCCTTTCTCTCTCTCTCTGGTCAAATAAGACAAATAATAAAATAAAATAAATAATTATTTTTTAAAAATTGAAGTCTTTCAAGAGATTTGAGATTCATTTTTGTATTAAGACAGTCAACAGGGAGACCAGCAGTTAACGTAATGGCTATGTCACTGGACTCCCATGTAGTCAACCGCAGTTCATGTCCTGGACCCAGTGGCTTAAACTCACGCTAGGCGCGAGTGCATATGTGCCCAAGATCCCGAGAGGATAATGTAGGAGAAGGGATTGCGGTGTGGCCATCCTCCCTGGGGGATAATTTCTTGCTTTCTGTATCTCTGTCTCTCTCTTTCTGGGGGACCGCACATGCCCTATAGCAAAAAATCTCTCCCCCCCAAAAAATCCCACATCCCTAAAACAAAAACCCCCCCCCCCCCCCAAAAAAAAAGGCCAGCCAATAGGGGACAGCAGATGCCACAGCAATTAAGGCGCTGGACTCCCATGTGGACAACCGTGGTTTGAGTCCTGTACCTGGCGGCTTGTAACTCATGCTGGGTACGTGTATGTGACTATCCAAAATCCTGAGAGGAGAAAGGAGAAGGGATTGTGGTGTGGCCATCCCCTGGGGGGGGTATTTTCTTGTTTTCTGTCTCTCTGGCAAATACACAAGCCTAATAGCAAAAATCTCACACACACACATACACATACACACACAAAAGACAGCCCATAAATACATTTTCTATTAGGTTTTCTCTCCTGCTATTAGTAATATTCCATTTTAATACATAAATGACAATATATAAATGGGGCATTTTTTTAATTGTTAGAGGAAGTGTGTGCTTGTCAGAGAAGCAGAGACAAAAATGGAGAGTGACACAGGAAAAAACACCCCTCAACAGAAAATGGTCATGTTGCAATCCCTTCTCCATTCTCTTGAGATTTTAGGCACATACATCCATACAAATACCCGGAGTATTTTCCAAGTTGCTGGGTCAGACTAAGACAGCAGTCGGTCATGTGGGATCTGGTTCCATTAACCAGTAGGCCACAAGGGCAGTCCAATCAGTTATTTTAAAAAATGCAAGTGTGGTTCTTTATCACCAAAGTTGTTTCTATAAAATCTAGTGATAATTCCTCTTGTTAGTAATTTAGCTAAACTTTTATGTTCTAAAGAACTTTCTCTAATAAAGCTCTGTAAATACACTTCAAGTTCTACCTACCAGATAATATGCCATTATTAAATGATAGCTAAATGAACATACTTAATAGGAAAAACACACTGGACCTCACATATTACAACAGTTTTTGTACTTTTATGTTGCTTTCTTATGGGGTTTTAAACCCTGTACAGCTAGAACTGTTTTTTTCCCCCCTTTTAGTTATGGTTATTATTACTAGCACTATGTATCGCTTACAAAGTCTGGGCCCTAACATTTGCATACTAAATAATATATGCAAAAAATATAGTATCTTCATTAAATCTTACTCCCTATAGAGCTATAATTCAGGATTAGCAGCTTTACTGCATCCTAGAATAAGCCAATAATACGATATGGGCACATGCTGAGAATCAAATCTTCCTGGAATGGGAACATTTAAAACTAAATACATGCTTGTTAAAATAACCTGCTATGGGTAAAATAATAGTAGTTCTGAATTGACTAAGTATTTCAACTTTAAATCAATACAAATATCAAAAATCAAAATCCATCAAAAGCTGTATGCTAAATAATTCAGTCTCCAAATCTAAATAAATCCATGTAAAATACCCTGAAACTACTCAATACCACGTCTTTGCTCTAGGTTTAGCTGCCACCATACATTCAGATACACACATTCCACACATAATATTTGATAATACCTCTTTAAGGGCTAGATTTCCTCCCACCCCTATGTTCCATTATCACCTTACCCCATTCTGTGCCATCTCCTGAACTCCGTGCCTCTCCAGCTCCTTCTCCATCTTCAGCAGTCACTAAAAAATCAAATTCTTTCAGTGCCTCCTCAGTATCAGGATCGTCAGTTAGGTCAGCAGCTAAACCTTCATTACCTATCTACAAATAGAGTATAAACCATAAATTACTTTTATCCTAAATTTTAAAGTGGGTTCTTTAATATTTTCACATAACTGCATTTATATAATTATTTTAAAATCTTAAATTCAAAACTTTAGGTTTTATATATAATTAATAATTCCCCAATTAAACTCTAGACAAATGGTGAAACAGTGCCATCTTGGGATCACTTGTAAAACATGATCAAGGTGGGGCCCACACGTAGTATCACAGTTACGGAGTTAGACTCCCACGGGCCCACTGCAGTTAAAGACTCAGGTCCAGTGGCTTGAAAATCACACCAGGCATGTGTGCCCAAAATCTCGAAAAGAAGAATGGAAAAGAGACTGCAATGTGGCCATACCCCAAGAGGGTATTTTTCACTTTTCCTCTCTCTACGGCAAGCATATGCGTCTTATGCTAAAAACCTTTAAAAAGAAAAAAATGTCATCAAAATAATGTGGTACTGATAAATGGTTAAAGTGTTAATCATCAAGAACAGCTAACCTCTTTACTTACAGTAGATTCAGTTTCCCACTTGTTAAGTAACTCTTCTCTATTACATTCTGACTCATTGTCTTGAATGATCTCACACACTGAGAACTATATACTTAGCTCATTACTCATAGGAATATGGCATATAGTTAATGTTAAGTTCATTGCTGTATAAATTGTGTTTTACCTTTCAGAATAAAAAATGGGAAAGCATCAAAATTTCTTTTCACCCAGTAGTATATGTCACACATATGCAATATGGAAGAAAGACTAAAAACTGCTTTTTATAGATGGGAAGTCTTTGAGGAAAATTATTTTTCTCATAGCAATATAAATTCTGAAGATACCATAACTAAGCTATCCACTGTTCCCCGTAACTACTAAACACTGCTTGTGTAATCTGCAACTGTATGATCTACTTTTGCTTCACAGTCAATCCCAATCACCACTAAAATAGATAAAACCTATTTCTTAGGTTATGAGCAAAAGTACATTTTCATTAATATTTACCAAAGAATGGGAATGCTGACATATAATTACAATCCATAGTTATTCCCTCACCAGGGGTGGGAGTATCTCCACTGGCAATTCAGTTCATTTATGTGTACTGTATGTGAAGACTTCAGCAGTGATTCTCGATTGTGGCAAGAGTAGAAATTATGTCCCTATTTTTTTTTTTTTTAATTGGCTAGGGCACATGCACATGCCAGAAAAAGAGAAAGTGAGAAAGCATTCCCCAAGTATGATGACCACCACATTCCTTTCTCCTCTATTTTCCTCTCAAAATGTAGTAATGCATGTACAGATGCCCACCCAGTGTGTTTTCCAAGCCACAGGGTCCAGAACTAAAATAGTACAGTTGGCCATGTGGGATCTAGCTGTCTTAATCACCACACCACTTAGGTTAAAATGATGTCAGTCACTTTTAAAAAGTTTCAAAACCACTGGACTAGTCCTAATATAGCAAATAATAATCCCCACTTCATGTGCATAATTCAGTAAGACTTAACGATATAAAACTTTTAAGGGTGATGATAAGTAAAAATGATCAATCACCCCAAATGTAACTGAAGAAATCTCAAAAATTCTTATCCCAAATACATTAGCATATAGCTAATAAGCATAGAGAATCTAGGCCCAGCCACACTAGCATGTGCTGGAAGCTACTACAGAGCAAGTTGAGGCCACATGGGAACCCTGAGTTTGATTCCCAACCCATCCTAAAATGCCAGGTCTGATGGCATGAGCCTGTAGTACCAGCTACTCAGAAGGTTGAAGAGGAAGACTGCAACACAGAGAGATCCAGTAGAAAACAAAACAGAAAAAACAAAATACCACCACACACACACACTCACACATACACACAGAATATATAACTGAGTTCCTACTTTGTGTTTATTCATCCTATGCTTGTCTTTTCCTTCTGGGATGCCTTCAATCATGTCATTTTCTTCTTCTTCATCACTATCATCAGCATTTTCTAAGAAATTGAATGTCTCAAGAACATCCCCAGAGGGCCTGCAAGAAGAGAAAAAGGTGAATCTAACTATTCTTTAGTTGATTCTAATATTTCTTCCTGGTTCCTCTTTTTGAAAACAATACTTAAAGGTAGCTACAGAGATTCTAATTAAGTATTTACCCAAGAAAATAATATCTGAAAGATTATCTTCTATTATTAAAATAAAGTGATTATTCTTAAACTTTTATTTTCCAAAGTTCATTGTATAAAATATTTTAGGCAGTTATGGCAACAAAATAAAACCCTATAGTTATGTTTATTTGTTTGTTTTTTGGAGAGCTTTTTTGCTATAGGGTACGTGTGCTCACCAAAAGACAGAGACAGAGATACAGAAAGGGAGAAATCATTCCCCCAGGGGGATGGCCACACCTCAATTCTTTCTCCTCCATTCTCCTCTCAGGATCTTGGGCACGCACACACGTGCCCAGCATGAGTTTAAGCCACCAGGTCTGGGACTCAAACCGCAGTTCACTACATAGGAGTCCAGTGACGTAGCCATTATGCCATCTGCTGATCCCAAACCCTATAGTTTTAAGACATTAAAAGATGCTACTATTTCTCAAACCTTGCAATTTACAGCATTTATCATAACCTCTTACAGACGCAAATGCTTGAGGATAAAAACACTAAATAATCAAAATTAAATTGATCAGGATACCCGGATTTAAAGTTACAGTGAAATACAAAACATACTAGTCCATCTCATAGATTTTCTTACCTAGAAAAAAGGGTCTTAATCTATTAAAGAAATACAAGAATCACTTTCAGAATCATTCATTTAATAGATAATAGTGATCATCTATTTTATCTATCGGACTGTTAGAAAAGTCATGATGCATTTTTGCATAGTAAAACAGGGCTGGCAGGTGGCATGGTGGTTAAAAGTGCTGGACTTCCTCATGGCTGACTGCAGTTAGTCCTGGACCTGGCAGCTTGCTTTCTCTTTTTCCCTCTCTCGTTCTCACTCTGTCCCTAACTGGTCAAATTAAAATAAATAACTAAATAAGAAAAACACAGAAAACGTACACCATGACTTTTCTGACAACCCAACACTTATGAAATGATTTTTTTTTTTGGTCTATTTTTTTTGAGAGATTTTCGCTATAGGGCACGTGCGCTCGCCAGACAGACAGAGAGAGACATAGAGACAGAAAGTGAGAAATCACCCCCCGGGGGGATGGTCACGCCGCAATCCCTTCTCCTCCATTCTCCTCTCGGGATCTTGGACACGCACGCACACGTGCCCGGCGTGAGTTTTAAGCCACCGGGTCCGGGACACGAACCGCTGTCGACTACGTGGGAGTCCAGCGACATAGCCATTACACTAACTACTGGTTCCCTATGGAATGATTTTTATAACTAATTTTAGGGGCTGGCAGGTGGCATGGTGGCCCCAGACCTGGTAACTTGCTTTCTCCCTTTCCCTCCCTCTCTACCTTTCTCAGGTCAAATTAAAGAATAGCAAATGGAATTAAATAAATCATTCATTTAAAAAATACTGATTTTAGTTCTTCTATGTATAAAAATGTGCTAACAATAAAGTTGGAACCAAACAGCAGAAAATCCATCTTAACAAAAGACTCTTACAGTGAAGTCTTTGCTCTGCCACTAACAAGCTACTTGAATTTGGTCCACTTAAATCTTTTGACCACTATTTCCTTATCTGTAATCTATGGGGATTAAACTAGATGATCTCAAATATCTTTACTAACATTAATAGTGGATGGTAACAGAAAAATAATATGAAACTCAAGTTTTTCTTTTCTTTCTCTGATTGGTTTCCTCTACTAGTCCAAATTAAGAACATAAAACAGGAAACAGCAGGTGGTGTGGTTATTAAGGTGCTAGACACTCCCATGGAGACTGTGGTTCGAGTCCTGAACCTAGTAGCTTGAAAATCAGGCTGGGCATGTGTGCCCAGGATGCCAAGAGGACAGGGGATTAGGGTGTTGTCATTCCCCTTGGGGAGTGATTTCTTACTTTCCCTCTCACTTTCTCTCTCCAATGAGTGCACATTCCTATAGCAAAAATCTTAAAAACAAACACATAAAAAAATTCAGACTATTTTTAAATAGCATTTTAATGTTAACATCCCCCCTCGGGGGATGGACACATGGCAATCTGTTCTCCTCCATTCTCCTCTTGGGAATTTGGGCACACATGAACATGCTTGGCATTTTTTTCTGGTCTTTTTACTCTTTGAAGATTTTTTGTTCTAAGGCATATGTATCTGTCAGAGAGAGAGTGTGAGAAATTAACCCCCCGGGGGGATGGCTACACCACAATATCCTTTCTTCTCCATTTTCTTTCTCAGATTTTGGATACATGCACATACACATACCTGACATGATTTTCAAACCATCAGGTCTGGGACTTTAACTGCAGTTGGTCATGTAGGAGTCCAGTGCCTTAAACATTACACCACTACAATACACCCATTGTTCATATTTTTAAGCCACCAGGTCCGAGACTCAAACCATGCAGTCAGTTGAATGGGATCCAGTCACCTTAACCACCACCCTACTGTTTGGCCCATCTTGTGAATATTCTAAAAGCACCAGAAATCATATTCTTGAAACTGATAAATTTTATAATTTTTTCTCAAAGGTATATTTGATAGCAAACATTCTGAGCCCAAACACAATCTAAAGCCTATTTCTTTCATTAAGACTGCTGCTTAAACAACCACTGCTCATTGTAGTCATAAGAGAAGCATTACAATTATAAATATTCTGGCAAAAAATTTTAAATAAGGTTGTTAAAAATAGCTATGACTTGCTTTCTCACTTTCCCTTTCTCTCTTTTTCTCTCATTCTGTCCCTCTCTGGTCAAAAACTAAAGTTAAATTAAAAAAAGAAGAAGACATTTATGAAAAGGGGGGGCAGGTGGTGTGGTGAAGGGCACTGGACTCCCACATGGCCCACTGTAGTTCAAGTCCTGTACCTGTACCTGGTGGCTTTCTTTCTCACTTTCCCTTTCTCTCTCTCTCTCTCTCTCTCTCTTACTCTGTCCCTCTCTAGTCAAATTTAAATAAATAAAGTTAAATTAAAAAAAAAGATATTTATAAAAAAGAAGCTATGAAACATGAAATCAGCCTCAAATTTGAACTTTAATTCTGAATCGACTTCATAACTACAGCTATTCTGCCATCCAAACTTAATACAGATAAATTTTAAAGCACCTAAACAGAGTATTTATCCACAGTACCATTTGAGGGATGAAGCTCTTTAAACCAGAACTACTTGCTTTAAAAGTTGTTGCTAGTTGGGACCAGCAGTTGGTGTAATGGCTATGTCACTGGACTCCCATGTAGTCGACCACAGTTCGAGTCCCAAACCTGGTGGCTTAAACTCACGCAGGACATGTGTGCGGATGTGCCCAAGATCCTGAGGGGAGAATGGAGGAGAAGGGATTGCAGTGTGATCATCACCCCTGGGGGTAATTTCTTGCTTTCTGTCTCTCTGTCGCTCTCTTTCTAGCAAGTGCATGAGCCCTATAGCAAAAACCTCTCAAAAACAAAACAAAACAGGGAACCAGCTGTTAGCGTAATGGCTATGTCGCTGGACTCCCACGTAGTCAACCGCGGTTCACGTCTCGGACCCGGTGGCTTAAAACTCATGCCAGGCGTGTGTGCATGCGTGCCCAAGATCCCGAGAGGAGAATGGAGGAGAAGGGATTGCGGTGTGGCCATCCCCCCTGGGGGATGATTTCTCACTTTCTGTCTCTCTGTCTGTCTCTGTCTGTCTGGCTAGCGCAGGCGCTCTATAGCGAAAAAACCTCTCCAAAAAAAAACAAACGAGAAAAAGAAATCATGCTAACCAGGCCAGCCCTATAGACTAGTGGTTAAGGGGTCCCAATACAACATGACTGACAGCTGTTCAAATCCCACAGTTGAAAAATATGTTAGACGGGGAACCAGCAGTTAGCATAATAGCTATGTCACTGTACTTCCATGTAGTCGACCGAGGTTCGTGTCCCGGACCCGGTGGCTTAAAACTCACACTGGGCGCGTGTGCGTGCGTGCCCAAGATCCAGAGAGGAGAATGGAGGAGAAGGGATTGCAGCGTTACCATCCCCCCTGGGGGGTGATTTCTCACTTTCTGTCTCTATGTCTCTCTCTGTCTGTCTGGTGAGCGCACACGCCCTATAGCAAAAATCTCTCAAAAAAAAAATATGTTAGATGTAGGTGTATGCACTCACACATATCCATAAAATCTCAACGCAATGGAGATGAGATACGGTATGACCACGCCCAATTGGAGGGTGATTTCTGCCTCCCTCTGGTAAGTGTACACACCATCTGGCAAATGGGGGGAAAAACAATGTTAACTAACTATAAGTACGAATCATACCTTTTGATTTCTTGTCCCTTTTGCTTAGGAGATTCACCTCCATTGAGGATCTGTTCCAAATTCTTTGTTTCTACTGATCCATTTGGTTCTGAATTAGATAGTCCAAGTAATGACCTTACCCGCTGAGACCGTACATCTAATATTGTATCCGTGTAACCTACTTCCTGAAGATACCTATAGAAGAAAATTTTAAATATTAAATGCCACATACTGTTAACACTTCCCAAACTGAAAACTATATCAAGGGATTTTTAGGAAAACTCATAATCCTACAAAACACACTCATGGCATCTTTCCTCTCTGCTAAGTAGTTTGAGTTCTAAGAAAACAATACCAAAATTAGAAAACAAAGAATGGCTTACAATGATTAATGGTTACTTATCTCAAAACCCAAAAGCCTCAATGTCTTAAAAAGCTTTTAGGGGTTGATTTTACAATCATATATATATATATATGATTGTATATATATATATATGATTGTATGTATATATTTATATATATATCTATATATATATATATATAGATATGTGTGTGTGTGTGTTTGTGTGTTTGTGTTCGTGTGTGTGTGTGGGGGTACTTCAAAGAGTTTGTAAAACATCAATTAAAGTATAAGTTCATTTTGGCAAAAAAAAAAAATTAAAATCCATACAGGTTTTTTCTAACAGGCATTTTTCACGAACTTTTTGAAGGTCCCATTTGTATGTGTGTATGTATATGTATATATTGGGACAGTGACATACTAAACTTAAACCTGAGGTTCTTAGCCAGAGATTGATGGACAGGCTAATTTTCCTCCTAAGTACTAATTTCTCATAGTATTCCTTCAGTTCTTTGTTTCTCAAACTTTATCTGTATCTAACCAGGGTACTTCACCTATAATCCAGACTGAGGCTGGAAAAAAGAAAGAGGCCATATCATAATATATAGATAATGAATTATAAAAGGCTTTTGTGACAAAACTGAAGTATTTAACAGGAAAATAAAGGATGCTGAAAAGCAGCATTATATGCTGCTGGCAGAAAAATAAAAGTTTTCAGTGAAAACTAAAGACACAGAGACTCATTAGGGCACTAACACAGCAGGAAGTAAAAATGAAGATGAGAGGGACCAGTGAGTGGTTTGGTGGTGATGTCACTGAACTTCCATATGGCTGACTACTGTTCAAGTCCCAGTCCCGGCAACTTGAAAATCGCACTGGGCATATGTGCATGCATTCTCAAATCCCAGGAGAATGGAGGAGAAGGGATTATGGTGTGGCCATTCCTCCTAGGGGATGACTTCTCATTTTCCCTCTCAAAGACTCTCTCAGTCTCTCTGCATGTGCTCTATGGCAGAAAAAAAAAAAAACACAACTTAAAAAATAAAAAAAAGAGGATAATAAACACAAGAAAAATTAGCAAGCTAGAAGACATCATTTTTGTGACTTCATACACAAATAAATGTGTTAGTAAAATAAAAGATTAAGAATTTTAGATAATTTTTGGGTTGGATGGCTAGATTATGGTTCTATTCAATAAAATGGAAAATAATAAGAATCAAGGTTATAGACTGCCTGTCAGATGACTATACAGTATTTATGAAAAAAAATAATAAAACAATGAAATGATTAAACACATCAATAAAACAGATAAAAACCTCAGAAGAGAATAAACTTGAGTATATAGGTTTGGGTCATTATAATCACAGAATTTAAAACTGTGGAATTAAATAAAGATACCCAGAGAACAAACATAAGAAAGAAGAGAAAGTCTAGGGACAAAAACACCTAGAAAGAACCCGGTGGCTTAAAACTCACGCCGGGCGCGTGTGCGTGCGTGCCCAAGATCCCGAGAGGAGAATGGAGGAGAAGGGATTGCGGCGTGACCATCCCCCCTGGGGGGTGATTTCTCGCTTTCTGTCTCTATGTCTCTCTCTGTCTGTCTGGCGAGCGCACGCGCCCTACAGTGAAAATCTCTCCCAAAAAACAAACAAACAAACAAACAAACAAACAAAAAAACACCTAGAAAGACAGAGGAATAAGAGAAATTCAAGAAAACTGGGACCAGCAGTTGGCATAATGGCTATGTCACTGGACTCCCACGTAGTCGACTGTGGCTTGAGTCCTGGATCCAGTGGCTTAAACTCACGCTGGGCGTGTGTGCGTGGATGCCCAAGATTCTGAGAGGAGAATGGAGGAGAAGGGATTACAGTGTGGCCATCCCCCCTGGGTGGTGATTTCTTACTTTCTGTCTTTGTATCTATCTTTCTGGTGACCACACACAGTCTGTAACAAAAATCTCTCCAAAAAAAGAGAGAGACAAATTCAAGAAAATGAAAATACCTCAGAAACTAAGTGGAAAAATGATAGCACAGAGTAACATCATGGAAACAAAAATAATAAAAATATCAAAGTCAGGAAGCCAGCAGGTGGAAAGATGGTTAAGCTTCTAGACTCCCACATGGCCGACCACAGTTGGAGTGCCGGACCTAGAGCCTTGAAAATCACACTGTGTGTGTGTGTGTGTGTGTGTGTGTGTGTGTGTGTGTGTACCCAAAAATCTTGAGAGGAAAATGGAAGAGAAGGGGATGTGGTGTAGCCATCCCTCCTGGGGAGTGATTTCTCACTTTCCCTCTCACTCTCTCTCTTTCCAGTGAAGGTACGTGCCTTATGGCAAAAACCAAAAGAAAAAAAATAAAAAAGGAATTAATAGTTAATATCAAACATTTACAAGAGATCAAATATGAACAAAAAAAGCTCTCAAACATGTTTGTGATAGTGGATTCAGAGGAACATCAAAATAAAATAGACCAGCCAGCTGAGAAAAGAACAAGGAAGACTACAGAAGGCAAGCCCCATGGCCTAGTGGTTAAGAAAGCCAGATCCCCACAAGGCCTACTACACAGTTCAAATCACAGCCTACCAGCTTGAAAAACACACCAAGTGGGACCAGCAGTTGGCTATGTCACTGGACTCCCATGTAGTAGACCGTGGTTCAAGTCCAAGACCCAGTGGCTTAAACTCACGCCAGGCACATGTGCGTTTGTGCCTAAGATCCAGAGAGGAGAATGGAGAAGGGATTGTGGTATGGCCATCCTCCCTGGGAGGTGATTTCTTATTTTCTTTTCTTTTTTTTTTGGAGAGGATTTTGCTATAGGGCACGTGGGCTCACCATAAAGACAGAGAGACAGAAAGCGAGAAATCACCTCCTGGGGGTTGGCCATGCTGCAATACCTTCTCCTCCATTCTCCTCTCAGGATCTTGGGCACTCACAAACATGCGCTCGGCGTGAGTTTAAGCCGCCGGGTCCGGGACTCGAACTGCGGTCGACTGCATGAAAGTTCAGCGACATAGCCATGACGCTAACTTCTGTTCTTCCCCCCTGGGGGGGGTGATTTCTCACTTTCTGTCTCTCTGTCTCTGTCTTTCTGACGAGCGCACACACCCTATAGCAAAAACCTCTCAAAAAAAAAAAAAAAAGAAAAAAGAAAAAAGAAACACTACAAAACAAAACTAAAACACCAAATGTATGTCTGTGGTGTGCTCAAAATCCCAACATGATGGAGAAATGAAGAAGAAGGGATTGAGGCATGACTATAACACCCTGGGAGGAAGGAGTGCTTTATCCCTCTCCTATCCTCCTCTGGCAAAATTAAAAACAACAACAAAAAAAAGAAAGATGACTACAGAGACAAGCTATCCTTAACACGTTTGGTGGGTAGCCCCCAGGGCATCGCTGTTAAGCCCTGTGAACAGGGAGCTGGATTCCACATAGCAAACTCTGGTTCTTAATGCTGGTCCCAGCAGCTTAAAAAAACACTGGGTAAGCTCAAAGTATTGATGGGACAGTGAAATGGAGGAAAGGCGATTGTACTCCACTGTAAGATACAGGAGCTCTCTGTACCTCTCTCTCTTCTGTAGCAATTAAAAAACAATAGTCAAAGAAGAAGTTTGGCTGTGAATTTAAAATTAAAGAGAAAGGTGAGAAAGGATGCTATAAATTCAGACAATGGGACCAGGCATTTATGAGAGAAATACTGTGCAACTGACTTCTCTATAGCTCTCCCCAGTCATTTTTTTTTTTTTTGGAGAGGTTTTTGCTATAGGGCGTATGCGCTCGCAAGAAAGACAGAAAGAGACAAAAAGTGAGAAATCACTCCCCAAGGTGATGGCCACGTCACAATTCCTTCTCCTCCATTCTCCTCTCGAGATCTTGAGCATGCACACACGCATGCCCGGCGTGAGTTTAAGCCACTGAGTCCAGGACCTGAACTGCGGTTGACTACATGTGAGTCTAGCAACACAGTCATTATGCCAACTGCTGGTCCCTCCCCAGTCATCTTTTAAAAATATAATCATCTTGGGCCAGCAGGTGGCATGGTGGTTAAGGGCACTGGACTTCCACATGGCTGTCCACAGTTTGAGTCCTGGACCTGGTGGCTTGCTTTCTAACTTTCCCTCTCTCTCTCATTTTGTCCCTCTATGGTCAAATTAAAATAAACAAATGAATAAAGTTAAATAAAATAATTCTTTTTTTTTT